GGATATGTTTTTGACACTACAAATCCAAATCCAAACAGACAAACATGTATATTGAAACAACATAGAGCGACAAAGATAAACCTCACCTCAAAGACTTGTAATCTAGAAAGAAAACAAAGCAAGATTAGTAGGAGTATCAAAGAACATTTATGGATGGTCCGCAAAACTAACGCGATGAGGGTTTAGTGACGCTTGTAGATCGTAAGAAAGTCAGACTGAGACCAGTCAAATGATAAGGGGGTAAAGCGGGAAAAGAAAATAGATCAAAATAATAAAACAAATGAAATAAACTCACCTGTAGACTCCAAAGGGGAAAACTGGTAAATTCTGACTTGTGTTTCTTTACATAGAACGCATTGTATAGAAGAATGCGTTTCAAAACAAAAAGGCAATGAATGTGAATTAACGATAAACTATGACCCCTCGATAAACAAAATTAAGAAGCGACGTCATGTCTATCTCTACCTAATGAGAACCAGATCCGTCTCTAAGGCTTCTTCATGTACATATGGCCAGAGTGTCTCCATCTAACCCTAATAACACCGGTAAGAAAAATTCACCTGCAATCGGGCCACTTTGACGCGGGGAATTAAGGCATATGAAGCAACGTTCGTTTTACCAAAATTTGAGGTCTCTTAATTTGTCATACCGTCTTCAGAGTAGTAGAAAAACACTCTGTCATTTTCTGCTGTAAAAGTCGCATCACACAGTTTATATCAAGATGACCTAGTCTCTCTGGTGTTCCTATGTACAGATAAAGAATTGAACGAGTCTGCCAGCAAATCAGTACATTTTGGCAATCAGTACCCACTTATCAACATCATTAGTTATGATGACTACAATTCCGTGGATTAATATTACAGGAAATAGTCCATTAACCTTAAGCTTTAACCTTTTTAAAGATGTCGTGGCTGATTACGGGGTAACATTACACTGTTTTTTTGACAGCCCAGTCCGAGGACAAAACATTCTTCTTCAAGTGATTAGAAAGGCAACTGTTTTAAGCATTTGACCACTTAAAAATAGTTATTATTCATTCAAAATATTTCCCCGATTCTGACTGGCTAAAAGCACCCGCATAATTCACCATAACTAGTTACTGATGACCAAATTTGGAAGAATTTTGTGTTTAACGCGGAAATGACGCCAAAAATGCAGCGTTCTTGCAGGTTAATGCACTGTTAACTGAGAAGACCTGGGGACGAGGTTGAGTTGTTAAGTTGTGAAGAGAAAAGATGGCGGACGTTTCACTCGTTTCAAGAGTAAGAACTAGGCGACATTATAGCTAAAGACATCTGCTACTTGGAGAATATTTGCGGAGCTGAACAACCCTAAACGCGCACTATCGAAGGTGAACTTAACATCGATGGAGGTAAGCATGTTTTAGCTTTGTTTTTAAACTAGGAATTATTTTAAATGAATAATAAAACAATTATTGAATTCGGCTTTCGTATCATATGAAGAATTATGGAGATCTCGGAAGGTAGTATGCACCTCGGCCACCCTCCTCGATCTCCATAATTTTTCATAAGATACTCAGCCTCATTCATTAATTGTTAATTAAATCCCATACTTGAGCTTCCTTCACTTTCAAAGAATGAATATTATTACGTACTATTTATACAATATTAATTTTAGGGGAATTAATGTATACTGGATTCAATTTTTACTTTTATTTTGTACACAAAATCATTGAAACTATGATTGTAGGCTAAATCTTGCATAACATTGACCCACTTAGTGAAAGGAGGTAACCTGAGAATGGCCTTTTTAAATAAATACACCTCCCCTGCAAGCACATTGCGCTGCTGCAGCGTCAACCTCGTTCCCAGGGTTCTCTCCTACCCGTCCCAACGGAGCAGGAGATGGGCAGGAGAGAGAACCTGAGAACGAGGTTGAGTGCTGCGTTTGTCTGGTTTGTGGCTCACTTCATTCGTTAACAGTAGCGATAACTCGCTCCGATAGTTTTTCCAGTAAAATATGTTGAATAAATTGGTCAAAAGACTTTGAAATTTCTTGCATTACTGACATTACTGCAAACCACCAATCGTGAAAAGGGGACAAAAAACTAACATAATTTTATAGTTGAAAGCCTTGTTGATGCCACCAATCTCACCAGGGAATTTTGAAAAAGAAACAAAGTTAAACAGTAGACGAATTTACCTTTAGTGTACATGTATTATTGGATTGGTTCGGTAATCCTTCTTTTGGGCATGGCTTTTAGCATTAGCGGAGTCGTTGGCCTCGCTGTCTTTCGTATCCTAACCTTAATCCTAACCTAATCATTTTTCACAGCTGTGTTACGCCACCCAAGTCTGGTCGCCTGCTTACGTTACTCTGAATGCTAAGGTGGAACAGGTGCAGAGACGTGCAAGCAGGTGGATTTTACGCACGCGTAAAGACAAGTCGTCGTACAAAGAGCGGCTGATTTTGCTAGACTTACTTCCACATTCTCTAGATCGTGAACTCAAAGATTTGATCTTTTTTTATAAATGCCTTTACTGTAGTACCGATTTAGATGTTCGGAATTATGCATCTTTTGTTTCCCACGATCGTACAAGACTAAGTAACTCCTTTAATCTTCGCAGCCCTTTTTGCAAAACATCATCCTTTCAGGCCTCGTACTTTAACCGTATTGTTAAACTATGGAACTATGTTTGTAAGCTAGCACCCCCAACCAGTTTTTCCTCGCCTACTGCCTTTCAACTTTTTGTCCGCAAATTAATGAGCACTCACCTTTCACGGGTATATGAAATCAATTATCCCTGCACCTGGACACTAGTCCCTACGTGCCCATGCCACTCGTAATTTATTTTATTTTTTGTACGAATGTTCGTGCACTCATTTTATTTTTTTTAACCTAGGTCTTAATCTTGGGGCGGTGCCTCTCATGGGACGTTAGTCCCGTTGCACCTACCCCTTTTGGGTTTTTGCTTCTTCTTTTTTTTTTGTGGTGTGTTGTATTACAAATTTATATTGTATACCACTAGAGGAGCACCCAATAAAGCTGCAAAAAAAACTTTCACGCCTCCATCATCAAGCAACATCGGCATAGCATCTCACAATGAATTCACGGGTTTCTTTAAATGATGCCATCCGTAAACTTCGTCTCGTTCTAAGTTTACCCACGCTCAAGCTATATTTTTGGCACCAAAAACAGTTTTATCTCGTCTCGTCCCAGTCTGTTTGGGGTGCATACATCATACTTTCGATTTGTCTTTGTTTTTGTCCCAGACGCTGGCTCGTAAGGTCCCTAACAATCGAATAGTTTGGTTCGAAGATTTTTCTGATCTTTCTTCGAATGTCTACTCCGCTTGCAATAATAAACCAATGTCTGGCTCCTTCCTTCGACAAAAATTCCAATCGCCATCACGATTTCCCTCGCTTTTCTGAAGCAGTCTAGAGTTATTGTCAGTCCCGTTTCTGCTTGCAAAGCTGGGCGAGCGTGTTGCGTTGTGATTTACATTAACCACGCCCCCACTAAAAACAATGATTGACGGAACAGAAAAACCCGAAAACCCCTCGCAGTTTTCAAAACGCGCAGCGCGATATTGGAACGAATTTGGCCATGAGGGGCTTAGGCAAACAAAAAAATGTATGCGAATGAGCTTACGATGACGATTTGAAATCAACCTTGACTAATTATTGCCCTCGCAGGGATTTCGCCCAGAAGGCGAAATCCCGAGGAGGCACTCCAGCATCCTCGGAGACCCAGGGGCAGATAGTTGGGGCGAGGGAAAGTCTAAACAGGCGGGAAAATATGGCACAAGAGAAAAGTAAAGAACGGTGAGAAGAGCCCCTGGGGACAATGTCTTACCAGACCAGCTCCAAACGGTCGCCGCCGTTCTGTCTTCTGATTGGTGCCAGAAAACTTGTGTTTTTCTGGCCCCAATCAGAAGACAGAACGGCGGCGACCGTTTGGAACTGGTCTGGTAAGACATTGTCCCCAGGGGCTCTTCTCGCCGTTCTTTTCTTTTCTTCGTGCCTTATTTTTCCGCCCGTTTAGACTTTCCCTTGCCCCCACTATCTGCCCCTGGGTCTCCGAGGATGGCACTCCAGTAGCTCGCGCGTATATTAAGGAAAGTACTTACAGTTGAAATATACAGTCAGTATGCCAGAAAAAATCTCGATTTGCTTGATCAGGGACCGCATGGAATCGTTGAATAATGATGACGTTTCTATTGTTCGCGCCCGCAAGTAAAAGATGGTTAGAAAGAAGTAAAACAGAAAATCCCGAATGGACAGATTAGGTAGATTTTGCGACCTTTATTGTACAGTCACACTTCGATACTCTTTTGCGTTACGTGTTATCAGTGACATTCTGTGGCGCAGCTGTTTTAAAAGTTGTGGACCAAAAGACACTCCTTAAGCGCAGATGAAGTTATAAGGCCAGGTGCGTGTAACTGAGTACATATAAACACTCGGAGAGTTTGCCAGACACGAGTTCTCAAATCTTTGATTGGAAACAATTTGCCAGACACTCTTTCTCTCTCTTTGTGGGAATGAGACAGTCCACAAACAAGCAAGACGAGTGAATCAACGGCTAGCTTATCACTAGCAGAACGATGGACGATTACAGAAATTCGCCGACAATTAAATTCTGTGCTGACTTACTCCCTCCTCACAGATGTCCATCCAAAAAGTTAAAAAAAGGACTAGAACGCGCGGCCGTGAATTGATCAAACCTTTGAATTTCGAAGGCTTTCTTTCCAGCAAATAAAATGAACTGTATGCGAAAAGTGAAAGGCTGCAAAATGGTCAAACAAGTCCAAACTCCCTCATCCATTTCATGGTCTCCATACAAAACGAGAGTTGAACAATGAAATAAATATTTATTGTATAATAACTCTTATAACAATATAATTTCTACTGACGTTTTAATCTTGCACACGCCTGCGTAATTAATACAAGACATCAGTAGTATTGTAAATCTCTACATTTGATACCATTATATAATTCCTGAACGTTTTTTTTTTTGAGTAGCGAAAGCAGAAAGACGATATTACTGGTTTATCTCCAGCTACAAACGCCGTATGTCCCGGCAGCAAGACTGAGCCATTTATGTACCGTCCAAACTTGAAGAGAGTTTGATTGGTCCAGCTAGCGAGAAAAGCCAAACGCGCAAAGTAAAGCGAAGGAATAGGAGGACAAACACATTCATACTTGACTATGATAAGCCTGAAAATGAGAAATAATTCCTTACCATATCTACTACTGTAAACAACACACCAAAGCACCGAAATACAAGGCGCGGCCCTTGTCCATGCATAGTACCTTCGTGCGTTTTCTTTTGTGAAACAGTTCGATTGAAAATTAATTAAGTACTGCAAACGCCAGTAACATAAGGCTTCAAAACGCGAAAAACAACGATAGTTGTCGAAACTGAGCACAAAAGGTCCCAACCAGACTGACTTGTTACGACGGTCCTTTGACATCTGGGGCACATTTGTTCGCTACTAACAAAAACTAGTCAATATAGGCTCAATATGAGCACGACTGACAAAGAACGTCATTTGCGACCAATATATACAATAGTCGTAATATCCACTCACAATGTGAAGTGAGATTACGAGGATACACACAAGATTTCCCCAGGTTTTCTCTTGAAATGCATAAATTCTTAGAAGCAACACTGTAACGAGATCACTATAAAACGCAAAAACGATCAAAGACCATGAGGTACAAGACAAAATATACGCAGAGAATATGGCAAACGGTTGCCAACGGCACAAAAAAGGTAGATAACAACAAAGACATCCCTTGCCGCCCATAGACGGAAAAAAGGATTTAGCCCTATATATGCAATACAAACACAGTAAGGATATAGCCTGGGTTGCAGCCGGCCCACTCTGTAGAAGGTTTAGAGTGTCTGCAGCGAAGTCTATAAGGATATCGCCTCTGCGTAATCACACAAAATAGCACAAACGACAAAAGTTAGCGACGGCAAACGGATTCAGTCCATAAATAATGAAATACAACGGTACTCAATAGAATATGAGGGGGTACCCGTGACAGTAACCAAATAAACATCCTTCCTAGCTATAGGCTAACAAAGGAAACGTTGCTTAACTTCATCATCAGAGTTTTTCCGTTTGAATACCTATCATTTGTCAACAAAATTAACCTACAGTCTTTTGGCATGCAGTGACCACAAAAAATACAGCGCAATGACCACAAAAATTCTGCTTTCAAAATCGTTGGAAAAACTAGAAAAGCTAAAGGAGGTGGCGATGAGCAAGAATTTCGGCAGCCGTCAAAGGTCGGGCATCTTCGGAGATTCGTCGTATTGGTGGCTGTGTGAGACTGTCACGTGTGAGCAACGTGACCCGAGGTTCTTTGGTTGTCATGGTTTCACGAAATTTAGTTAAACGGAGTTCAAGTTCCGGCGGTCTTTGTCTTGATGAACTTTCAAATGCTCCTTTCTTCTCCGTTGACGACTCTTCGTCGGTGTCCGGTACAACTTGAGCAGGCTCGCTTATTGTGGTTGACAAATACCTATCGATTACAAGGGAAATTATCACAAAATTGAAATTCTACTAAATATGGTAGAAGTGTTCCCTGTTCATATAGTAACAACTTCTCTGAATAAGTTGGAATATCTGCCACGTGTGACTTTTGAACTAGTCTCCTTCGCAGCCGTTCGGGCCGGCGGGTGTCACGCATTGCTTCCCAACATTGCGTGACTCCGCCCCGAGCGGCTGCGTTGGAGACTACTCTTGAACGGAACAATGGAGAGACTGCAATGTCTTTTTAAGGCTGGTCACATTTCTTGCATGTTGTAATCAAAAGTCATTGGTGCACTCCTTTTTCGCTAACATTCAAAAACCCGCTTAAAATACTGTGGTGGTACAGGCCAACAAGATAGGTTACGGTAAATGATTGTTTGACAAGCAACAAGGATCTTTTGCTCTGAACAAAATAAGAACCATTAGCCCACATTCCCAGTAGACATCAAAATACACAGTATTTTTAGCAAAGTAGACTACTCAAAATTTTTAGGTTCTCGCTTAGAGGTTCCAACTAAGCCTTCAAGGGAGGGTAATTTATTTCAACCACGTTTGAGCGTTTGAGGGGAGGAGGTCCTTAGAGAGGGGGGCTTATCTAAGTTAGAGAAGACGATGGTACCAATTCTCCACAGAGAAACAGGACACACAGCGGAAAAGGTCAGGCAAATGAAGATGGAGGTCAATGGAGCCATAGATAAAAAACGAATCCGAACGTCTAGCACGCGGTTAAACTATCCCGGATCAGTCCACATAAAGTGTTTCAGGGGGTAGGAGAGGGAATGCTTAAAAGTGAGAAGGAGGAGGCGCGTAATAACTTTCTTCTTCTGAGAAGGAGTGGCTTAATGGAGGATTTACAGTATTTACTTAATTTGCAGTGTTACACTCACCAAGCAGTCATGGTATTTCTCAGAAAATCAAGCACGCCAGATGCTGTAAGCCTCTTCTGGGGATCAAGCATCAACAACAGACCAATCAATGATTTGGTATTATCCGAGACACGTCCATCACTGAAACACAAGTTCGAGAACACAATGTCAGTAACAAATCCTCACTGCACAATGTTACAGCCAATTCACCTAATTTATAGAAATTAAATTACTAAGTCTTGAGAGGATATCCTCTGTTGGCTAAGTGAATTTCAGCTAATAACAAAGAAAATTTTAAGCTCATGAAATGTGCACTCCAAATATTTCTCTATCTCAGAATACGGCTGTTCTAAACGACTTTCAGCAATAGGAGGCTAGGTACGTGTAACTATTTTTTGACCTTGTTAAACCTTGTGCTTCACATCCAGAAATCTTGGTACAAACTCACTTGAAAGTCCACTTTGAAGTTTTGCTCTGGTTCTTCTTGAAAATAAGACTGCTATACTCTACAAACTTTGCTGAAACCTGGGTGAAAGCGGATGATTTTTCATATCACGTCTTCGAATTCTCTAACGACTAATTTGTCTGTTCCTTGTGTGTACTTTTTCTGTCCTTCCTCAATGTGTTAAAAACTCTTTCCCGCAAATGAGTAATAATTTATGTAAATCAACATTACAGGGGATGTAATTTGACAAGTGTTGACAGCCAATAAATGTGACGACCATTGTTGCAATTAAGTCACTGCTTGGAATAAGGTGTGACATATAGCGATTTTAAAACTTACTTTGGTAGAAGGAACTCTGCAGTTTTAATCTTTCTGAACAGCTCATGGGGAATGCTGTCATAGAAAGGAAATTGTCCATACAGCATTGTGTACAAAACAACTCCCAGGGCCCACATATCACTAGCTTTCCCTGAATATGGAGCTCCTACACGAAACAAAGGAAGGAAAGACAACAAAAATAATAATTTCCTGAGTATCAAATTGAATTTTATATATAAGCCTGGCATGGCACTTACATGTCACCAACCAATGGACTGATTTTTGATAGTCTGAGAAAACAGCTGACATTTGGCGACCCCACCACTGGTTTCCTTGCAAAATGACGTCTAAGGAACAAGTGCAGAAATTTCATGCTGAAGATGCATCACTACACAGATCTACTTTTGTCGGTGGTGCTTTTCATTATTTGCTTCAACAAATCAGAAGCACTGAAGGCATGTGTGGCCAAGCAGTTAACACCTTAAACCAAGGATCTGGAGGTCCAGGGTTCAAGCCTCGCCTGTCGTGTTGTTTCCTTAGACAAGGAACCATACTCCACTTTGTCTCTCTTCACCCAGGTGTATAAATGGGTACCAGCGACATACTTCTGGGGGCTAACCCTGTGATAGACTAGCATCCCGTCCAGGGGGGAGTTTAGCAATACTCCTAGCCATGCTTCATGCTAATGAAACCGGGAGAAGCTCCGGCCATTTGGGCCTTTGGCTCGTGTGCGCCTTTACCTTTTTTTGATCAAAAGCATTACCCAGATCTAGATTTCTTGAACGATAACCTGGCCTAGAGAGCCACTTTTACTTAATATGTCAAAGATCATCGCAGATCATCAGAGCCCTTTTATGCTCGAGGCATAGGGTCACAAAATAAAGTGATATGTAGGAATTTGTCCACTCAAGCCTCAACCTAGAGTGTTATGACACAAGAAAGGTCTATAAATTCTTTTGAAAATAATACTGTTTGTTAGCAAACCAAAATGGAATGATTTGTGAGCTTAAAACCATACTACTGTTCTTTAGGTTTTAACTTTAAAATATAACTTTGACATTATCAAAATTGAAAAGTTAGAGGGAATTTCAAGAAACAGGCCCAAGGCAAACAACCACTTATCTTGAGGATTCAAATTTGGAGAACATTTTCAGGTTGATTTCCCATTAAGCACCAAGACGTTGATCAGCCTAAGCTCTGAAATCATCGAGTCTTACATGCAGGTGTTTACTGTATTACAGTGGAACCGCAATATAACGAAGTGCCATTGGACTGGCAAAATGTGTTTGCTATAACAAGGATTTGTTAAACCAAGGTTTTTTTCCATATATTCTACTATTACTGGGGTAAAAAAGAAATTTATTGTTTGTTACACCAAGGACATCATAAAGGTTCATGATATTGAGGTTTCACTGTACATTCAAACTGGCTCTAAGGCTGAGGGGTATAAAACAACAAATATTCTTAAGCCTTTAAGCCTCAATATCTCCATGCAAATTCTTAAGACTGATCTCCATACATATCTTATAAAATTGGTGGAGAGAATTTGTTAAAAGATCAAAGCATTTCCCTTTTGTGATCATTTTATGAATTCTAAAAAGTTGAGTATTCATTGATATTGTTGTTGAGTATTCATTGATATTGTTCAAGGAGAAAATTGATGTTGCTCACTCTTGGGACTTTTAAGGGTTAAAAGGAGTTCGAAAAGGTGAGGTATTACTTACCACTTAAGACATCAGGACTTATATATGCTGGGCTTCCTCTTTGATCTTTCAACAAATCATTGTCTCTTATGAGATGCTTCCCCAGACAAAAGTTTGTGATTGTTATTCTCTTTGTCCTGAAGGAAAAATATAGTCATTTTTGTTAAAAACCAATACAATCATGGTAGAATTTCAAACAAAGCTACAAATGCAAATAGCCTGCCCCACAAATGAAACTAAACTCTGGTTACAAAGTCCGTCTGCAAACAGCATCAAAATCCTTGTTTTGGGCCCTCAGCTGTGTACCAGGATGTAGGTACGAATGCAGAAATTGCGGCACAACATCTTTGCTACCATGATTGGCCTGTCAAAAATGCCATTGTCCATTTGCTAATCAGGTTGAAGAAAAAAAAAGAAATGCATTTCTGCTATCTTGTTGAGTCCATTGGGGCCCAGAACAAGGACATTGGTGCTACTTCACAGATGTTACTAACCAAGGTTACATTACGTCTGCCACGTAGGCTACAAATGCAAGGGGTTACAGTACTACAAAATGCCATCTCTTCCTTTACTCTGCTGTTATCTACTTTGCTTTCGACTCCTACAGACCTGCCAGCTCTCACAATTTTGCTGTGAGTCTCACCATTTTTCCTCACGAAGCGAGGGAGTTAATAATTTTGTCAAAATTTGCATCTTGTGTGTGACGTGCTTGGATCTCACAGTGAGGCAGAAAAACAAGCCAGCTTTATATATATTTATATATCTTGACTTCGGTTGCTAGTCGCAGTGACATCATCAGTTGTGCACAACCTTGAGTTGCATTGAGGTTTCCAAGCAACACGACTTCCTCTGAGTGCACTACGTACTTTTAACATTTAGTGGCATTGCTCAGTAGACAAGGGGTGACCTTACATGTCTAAGGTCCGGGGTTCGACTCCTGGCCGAGAAAAGTTTTTTTTCCCCATTTTTTTGGTAGTTTTGTTTTTGTTTTGTTTTGCTTTTTTTCTACCTTATTTTTTGCTCATTGGCTGGTTTCAATTTATTCATATTACTGAAGCATCACAATTTTGTGACATATTTCTAGTTCATCTTTTCTCATGGCCTCACTACAAGACTCCCAATCTCACGCTTTTTTGGGAAATATAAGTTTGAAATGAAATGCTACTTTTTACAAAATTTTGGCCATGAAATTGGATTATCCAGAAGAAACAGTCCCTCGCTGTAAGTTTCGTCCTAGTGATGGCGTCATCCCTAGCCTCTTAGAGTCATCATAGAAAAGGTGGTAACATCTTGCCACAAGAGGGACCATAAATATATAAAGCAAGGTGATAAATAAACAGCTAATTCCCCAATGGAAAAAGGGTTTGTTTAATCTAGATCGGTAACAAAAATAATGGAATCTCACTACTTTTTGTGAAATCTTCCGACTTTGTTTCTTAAGTCTCCAGATTTTCCTTTATCAGGGGTTGGCAGGTTTTCACCTACTGCTATGTATTACATATACTTCTACTAAAGTAACAAATAAATAATGATTTACCTCCTATTCAGAACAATGTTTCCAAGCTTTAAGTCTCTGTGAACAATATTCCTCTGCAGATCATCATGAATAGTTAATAAATAACAATAATTTACTTTGGTTTCTAAACACTAAGGAAATTGACAGTCAGACACAACACTGCAACTACACAAGTAACACTTTCTCCAGTGTATTTCAACAGAGTCTCTTGTTTAACTACTTAGTCTATTTAGTTATTAATTTGTTTTTCTTATATTTCAATCAAAATTTTTCTCAAATTCTTAAGCTATTCTTCATAACCAGCTAGCATTTACCAAATCTGGAAGACATCAGCAACATCCAGTAAAATGATGTCAATGGCAAAAGATACTGCCAGAAAAAGAGGTGGGAAGGGAGAAGCCCTAGGAATGAGATTGCATCTCAGCAGTTTTGGTAGAGCTGGAGGTAGTGGCACAAAAATTTCACATGTTTTAAAAAGAAGAAATTGCTGAATTACCACCTTTTAGCAAAATAAAGGTATAACTCAATGGATAACAATAACTGTTTTTTGAGGAATATCACATGAAGTATGTGATAGTGATAATCCACTTTGAAAGTAAGGAAAGTGATATCTGACGCAACGGTCACATTTTTCGTCCAAGTGAAAATGTGACAGCTGCATTTTTTCCAAACCATTGTACCAGGCCACAGTGAGGCAGTCTTAGAAATGAGGGGAAAAGCAACAGCATAGCCATCCTTGGGCGGCATCAATGAATCGTTGGCTAGAGTTATACTTTTCTTCTTTTTCTATAATATTATTTTAAATTTTGATATGAAAATATTGATCTTTGTATTATTTTTAATCTTATTGGCAGTGGAATTTATGAAATAAACACGACACACTAAAAAATATTCATGTTTAATACACAGGAATTTTTAAGTTATGCCCGAAAAGACACACACAGCGAGATAAACAAGGAAGGAAATTGTAGCTTTGATCACGGCAAAATCTTTTCTGCCCACGTATTTAGATCACTGAACTCCAAACAGACTTAACCACGTTAACTACAGTGTAGGCGTGTAACCTGTTAAACGAGACACTCATAGATTTCCTGCTTTGAAGTTTGTTACTTACGCCCACGAAAGAAAATTTTAAGAATATCCGCTCTCAAAAAACTTAAAAACCATGCGATATTTTTATAGCTGGTGAATAACATGGTATTTTTTAAAATAAACTTCCCTGTAATCTGAGAATACGGTAAAAATTTTTCGACTGAAACTCAAAGAGCTGAGGTCAATCCGTGATTAGAATAACTTACATGACGGAAATCGACACCTACGCGAAAACGATTATTCTTTTGAAATCACTAGTGACCTACGTTCCCGTAGACCCGTAGTACAGAAAAGCAGAAGAATTTGTAATGCTCAGAAATGTAAGGTTCCTAAAGTGAAAACTAAGCTGAAATTTTGACCAAGAATTTCGACGGTAAAAAGATTAAAACAGAATCACAACCAACACAGCAATATTTTAACTTAAAAGCTGTAATTTAATCAGCAGGGTTTTCAACCAAATTTCCTAAAGATATCAGTCGGTAACTTCATTTATTTAGCCTCACCTTATGCAAGCATTCTACCACTCTGACAATGTCGTGAAAAATGATAATTGTCTCTCTTTCGGACAATCGTTTCTCTCTGATCACGTAATGTTGAAGGTTAATCAAATCTGCTGTATCTGAGCTAAAGTCGTGCGCACAAAGACAATCCAAAACCAAACATAGACGATGTCGAATACGATATTGTCTCGCAACAGAATTTTGTTGAGATCGATGAACCGTTGTAGTAGAAGAAGAATCTTTCTCAAGGGGAATTTCCTCGTAGTATTCGTCTTTGAAAAGTCCATGGTGGTGAACGACGCCATCTTGATCGTGTAAAAGTGAGAGAAGTGAATACTCGGTATGAAGCAACATTTTTCCTTGTTTATCGTCTTGGCTCTCGCGGCCGGCGTCCGCTAGCGTAAGAATTTTGATCGAGTAAAAGTCATCTGTACCATCCTTTTTCGCTAAACACTGAACGATGCTTCGCACTGGTGAATTGCCCAATCTAGGACCGAGTAAATACGGCCCTGCGCGTTTCAGCGTTCCACGATTCGAAGCTCTAATGAAAGCTCTTCGCGAGCTTGACAATGAGTTTGTATTTGTTGAAATTGAAGACTCTCCGTCTTCAAGGCAAGAAGCCTTTCTTTTTATTCCTGTCGTTCCGCTGCTGCTAGATCGCATTTTAAAGGTGTTTGCTCGCAACACAACGCTCACACTTTCCTTCACATCGGAAGTGTATTCATTCGATCCATTCAAAAAATTTTTAGGATGGAACTCAGGCTCTCCCGGCCAATATCGCATGGGTGCACCTGGTGCGAAAAATGAAATGGTAAAGAAAATTGCTCTTTTCCCATTTTAAGGTAAAATTAGGATATTGTTTCACACTATCTTTTTACAAATCAAAAACAGAAAGTTTAATTAACAAAAAATGAGAAGAAAAAGGAGAGGAAAACACCCCCAAATTAACAAATTCTCACGTACAGCGCTTCTTCAGCTTGTTGCCATGGTTAGAGACGCCAAACACGTGGAATACCAAAAACAACAAATATGGCGGAGGTGCTTCACCCGTCGGATTCTCAAGGTAAAAACTTGCATTAAATGTCTTAAATTTTTCTCCACGCAAAACAGTAAGCCTTTTAGACGGATTAAAAATGGAAAATGAAACTGTATATCGCACTGCAAAAAGCTTTGATAGCTCTTCACAGGTTTTTACACCGAGGAGGAACCCGTTTAGCTTAATCATCGTGATTAGAAGACAAGATTAAGCTTAATTACGCATCGGAATTTTCATCCCACAGACTTTTAATTTGTGAAATAAATTCTCAAGGTCATATTGGAAGTTATTAGCAGAGATTTGTGAAGCTTTTGACACTCAGTATACTTGACGCCACCCTCCCTGAGTGCATTAGTTTCTACTTTATTTCTCTCGTATTTTGCAGGCTAATAACGTTTTATACGTCTGAAAAAAAATGTTTTAATGATTGCTTACCTTCATTACCAAATGCAAAAGTTGTACATGTGTATAAACAGTTTAACGTGGCAAGTTGTTTGCTATGTATTAGAGAATAGTTATATGACCAATTAGAAATTCTAATCAGAACCGTTCGCAAGCAACATGAAAAAGCGACAGTAAAATGCAAACAAAAGTGGGTGGAGTGCTGACTAAGACATGATCATGGGTTCTAATACCTTTTGGGGTTGATTTGATTTGAGGCTGTAAAATCCATTACTTATTCAGCTGTGAATATTAACTCAGAGAATATTTCTTCATTGTGTGTTTGTTCTGTGAACAGGCTTTGACACACATATTTTACACCCAATTATCAAACCATATTACAAGGATGGATTTGGAAGCAAGTCAATAGGAGAGCCACAATGGAGACCTCATCCCAGAAATGCTTTGTCGGTACCAGACAGACTTGACAACACAGTGAAGTGAGTAGGACTCAGCCAACTTTCTTTGTAACCATTTACTGACTCTTATAACAACTACTGCTCTTCATGTACATGTAGGTCTTGGAAACATTAGGTATTGTAAATAACCGTCCAATCAAGGACTACACCCATTGGGTACCTACATGTAACTTCTTATGATAGGAACTCTCTAAAGTGGCAACTCTTTTGGAATTGAGCTAATAACATTCTTGAGGAACATGAATGCTAACATTCTGGGCTGAGTTGCTCAAAGCATGGTTAGCTTTAACCATTGGTTAAGCAGTATCAAAACCAATACGTTGTCAAGGTATTAAACGCTGGTTAACGCTAACCATGCTTTGAGCAACTGGGCCCTGATTATCATGAACAGTGACCAGAAGTTTGGCACAACAAAATAAATAAGAAATCATTCTTTGGTTTTAATGGCTGATGTAGCATCAACATTGAGTCAGAATGAGCATAAGGGCCTTTTTGTATGAACCCAATTTACTAAGCTGGTCCCGGTTCAGAGATCTTGCATGCATGACTTATCCCTAGTTTCTTTGTAAACATTTTGATCTGTTCATGAGAGAAAGGGATGGCTCAGTTCCCAAGATCTTGGTCTTTTCAACAGGGAGCTCTATGGGTTAACTTAAATGAGTACAGAAGTGTTCCCATTGCTTTGATATCAGCAAAGATTGGCCTATTGAAAACCTCATAGAAATTCTTTGTTACCAATGCTTTTATTTAGAGGTGGCAATGGGCTTGACTGGTTTTCTAGTCTCCGATGTGCTTCTCTGGAGGATACTTCACCTCATACATATTCTGTGCCAAAGCAAGGACTATTGCAAGTGCCGGCACATTACAGTACAAATGACAGCAACAGTTCACTGAGGGAACAAGGTAGTTGTGTGATTCATTATTTTAATTCTTGAGATCCTTGGAATTTTTAGTGTGGCTCACTTCCCTGTTATAAAATCCATATCTTACCTCTTGTATTGTAAATTGCTGGCAAAAACAAAACAAAACAAAAAAACAACAAACACAGCTACACGCTGAAAGTTCTTGGGGTTTGGTTTGGAAGAGAACCTTTTACTGTTTCTTCAAGTTTTGATAAAGACCAGGTCCCAGTTGTTCAAAAGGTGGATAGTGTTATCCACTGGATAACGCAGTTAGTCTTTTTAATACTTATCCACTGGATAGCGCTATCCAACTTTTGAACAACCAGGGCCTGTTAGTGAATATCCAGGGGCGGATCTAGGGGGAGGGTGCAGGGGGTGCGCACCCCCCCTGAAATGACTTGCGGCTTTCTAATTAACACTGTGCAGTCTGCTTCACAGTTATACAAAATCTGCTTTATCATTTGATATGTATTCTCAGCAGTCCTCAGTATGTTATTGCCTAGTCGAAAGCCTTCTTCTTCGTATTTGCTATTAAAATTTGTTTACGTCACCAGTCAATTACGCCATTCCTTAGTAGTGCATCCCCTCCTACGAAAAATCCTGGATCCGCCTCTGATATCCATTGACACAGCTGGAAATTAAAGAGCTTAAAATTAGGAAACGTTCCAAGTAAAGGTGAGAAATCTTCGCTTGCTTTAGACGTATCACTTTTAAGCTTAACTGTGGAATGGTCAATATCAAGAACTGCATTACTAGAAAGTGCTCAGTGGTCAACATAAAGAGTGAGAGACCAACACATTATGCTTCAGCTTTTTGAACTTTGTGTGACCCAAGTTTGATATTCTATGTTTATTGACTTCCCTTTTTTTGAAATGAAAGCAAAATTTACTTGTTGTGTCCTTTTTCAAGCTTTTGAGGCTCCTGAGATAGCACCAAGATCAGTACTATTCCAGAAAGAATTACTGGAAGAGAAGCCTACGCAACACCGGACCCAGAATGAATATGACACTTATGACGATTTTGAGAAAATTTATGCCAGGAGACCACTAGAAATTTCTTTAAGAATGTCTGTTGGAGCTAAAAAAGAAGGTATAAAAAAAAAACAATTAAAATTTTTTGTTTTAATTATTATTTAATGATTAAAACTTGCTAATAATTATTCTTCTTTTTATTATTATTTATGATCCATATTGTAATTGAGGCATTGTAGAGACTCAAAGCCCTTAGTTTATCGGGGTGGGGATTGTACACAGTGATGAAGGGCAAGGATGTCTATTTCTCTCTCTAAGGTTGAGGAATTAAAGTACATGTAGTGAAGACAAAATAGAATTTACTTCTAAATTTGTCACTAATAATGTTACCTGTATTTTAAAATGTTCTTGATTTAGTATATAACAACAGAAATGGCATTCCAGCTACATCACTAGGAGACAAGAGTTATCAGGTACCAGAATATTCACCGGATTTCCACAAACATGGCAGCACAAGACCGGTTATTAACTTTGGGTAAGAACTTATTATTTCTTTCTCATCCATCAGCAAAACTGGGCAAGAACTATCCATCTATTGTTAATGGCCCCTCTACTGGTGTAAAAATAAAAATTATGTCAGGAAATCCAATCACAGACTTCAACATTTCCTTGTTTGGCTTTGGAAGCACCTCCTGGGTCCATTGCCACAATGTAATCTTGTACCCAGATCTCAGTCTGTCTTATGCTGGAAAGTGAGAGTTCCCTTTCCCTTGGCCTTGGGAGATCTGGGTACAAGATTAGCCACAGTGCATGCTGTATAATTTGTTAATTACATATGATATGGGATACCACTGGGTTTTCCGATGAGGAAACAAAGCCTATAGTCATCTAAAACTGCAATAGATTTTCACTTGTTTAATATATCATCAGTCCCTAGAGCATCCCATATATTTGCCCCGTTCATTTATGAATGGTCTTTGACACTTTATCAGTCCGGAATATCCCTAAATTTAAGGACAGGGCCAACTGGTCATGTGACACTTTTCAACCAAAATTATGAGAAGGCGCACTTGTGTTTATCAACAAACAAATCAAAACATTGCCCCGGTGATAAAAAATGTTCAAAACAGTACTCGTCTAGGTCTCACATTAATTTTAATATTTCAAAGAAAAGATTTCATTTAAGAGAATAAGAGCATTATTCATTGCAAGGAATCACTGGGGTGTTTGAACTGATTCTGGACCGATCGCAGAAGTCGTGGCTTCACTGGCATGACTTGCAAGATTTTTGATAGAAGCAAACTGGTCCCGTGTAAAAATAGCCTTATAGAGAGTGTGAAAATTTGTTGAGATCATACAAAAGATGGATTGGTACTGCCTATTAACTTGTACAGGACAAGAATCAAAGAACCAGTCATCATAACAAGAATAAAAAGTTGTTCAAATTTATTAATTTGTTTGTTTGTTTTTTTGTGTTGTTTCGTGCTGACTTCACGCATCTGGTGCTTTCTTTTGCTGTAGTACCTGCAATTTTATCCCAGATAATCAGTGCATGTTCAATGAGTATAGTGAAATACATCATTTACACTTGAAATTTGCCTTCTTTCTTTGATGTTTTTTAACGGTAGATGAACATTTGGAGAATCCAACAACATTAAATCTTTCCAGATTTGGTGAATTTCAGAAACAAAGCAGTTAGTATCTACCTTGTGCTTATGATCTTCAATTTCATCCCCACAAATCGGCAAAGTGAGGCGAGATATGTTGGACGTGAATATCTATAAGACTAATAAAGTTGTTTTGGCCTTGAAAAGAAAAAAGGCAAAGGCTCGTACTAATACGAAAAAAAGTAATAATGTGTACGTGTTTTGGACCTTGGAATTCAAAAATTGTCTACCAAAATTCTAGGTTGTCTACCATTCCCACATTCAACATGATAAAAGTTAATCAATATGACAATTGAGAAAAAATCATCTAGAACTTTGTAAAAAATTTGTGAATCAAAAAAATAATAGATACTTGTTCACTTACCTCGAAAACCGACCAAAATCTCGCCTATACATCGCGTTGTTTAAAAGAAGAAATAGCTAGGCCACAAAATGTACTGAATATTTCACGAGACACTTCCAATATGGCTTCCGATACGCTGTTCACTTAAAAAAATTGCGTATGCCTCATGAAAAGTCTTAAAAATATGCCTGAGAGCCTCGAAACGATCACTGATTCTGTCCGACTCCTTCTGCTGTTTTGAAAATTTTTGATTTGTTTGTTGATAAACACAAGCACGCCTTCTCATTGGTTGAAAAGTGTTGCGTGAACGGTTGGCCCTGTCCTTAAATTTAGGGATATTCTGGACTGTTTATAAGTCATTATCTATACACATGGTATCATATTAAAATCTGCATTTATTGGACACTAGAGGTTTCCTTGAGGGTGTCTGCTTTAACCCATGTAATGCAAGAAGTTTTATTGTAACAGTTATAATTTCTCATTTTTAGAAAATACATTTAAAAACTTCTCAGGGTAATAAATTGTGCTTTTAAAAGCATTGTCAAAACGAGAAATATTATCAGAAGTAACATCATTTGGTGTTTCTATGTATCCGTGGATTCATGTAGACCAAAATGTTGAATAAGTATGATTCTACAACTAACGTCTTGTTTTATTGTGTTGTAGGGGATCTCTTAAGTATGTACCAGATACCTTCGTTCCTCTCCAGGATCTGCCCATGAGACCCAGGTAATTTTAATCTGGAGAAGACCTTTTTGTTGTTTCAAAGTAGGGGCTGAATTGCTGAAGCTTTAATGGCTTTGGAAACTTAATTGGATGCAAAATTGTACATTTTTATAAACACTACAACAACTCCACCAAACTTTACAATAAGAAGGAAGTCTAAAATGCTCAAGATATACCATAACTGTTTTGTAGTGTAGATAACTGCCACCCTACCAGTATGCAAAGAAGGTCATTTTTACAGCTTGCCTTTTGGGCAAAAGAAAGGCTGCCTTGGGGGCAAGTTGTGTGTGCTAGTACAAAAGTGATTTCAACTAGCCTGAAGGAATTTCAATGAGCAGGTTTGATTATTATTACAGTTCTCCTGTAATTTGACCACCACCATCACCAGCGCGATAGCAACATCCACTTGCTCCAGGCTATTGGACTGTACTTTCTTTGCATGCTGCCTACCAGCAAAGCCTTTCTTATGTTAACTCAGTGACTTGGGGTCTTCTTCCAGATCGAGTCATGGTTTGTACAATTTCAAACAAACAAATTCAAGGACCTTTCAAGGACAAATGACGGTTTTCAAGGTCTAAGATTTCTTCATTAACTCGGCTTTCTTTGACCCCCTTTTGAACACCTTACTCTGGCTAAAACACTCAGGGGAGTCATTTGTGATTTTAACTTTCTCAGCTTTGGTTGATCAGTTTACATTATTATTTTCATACTACTTTCCATAACAAAACTTTGCGAAATGACAATGGTCACTGCGTATGACTTGCAGTTGTATCTGAAGTAC